AGTGAAACAAAAACATGTTTGTTAGGAAATTTATTTTCTAATAAACATGTTTTTATAGGGATGATTGCTCCTATGTTTTTAGGAAATGATAGCTCCTTTAAGCAGGGACTATGATTGTATAGTATTTGTAGAAAAGAGGAGATGCAACTTTACGATGATGAGAAAGAGACTCAAGCTTAGTAGATAGAGCGGGTCCAACTGCATTTACAATGCGTTTTTGGACCTTGCCAAAAAGAGAAAGAGCATCATTAGAAGAACCAACCCAAATATGACAACAGTATTCTTTACAGGCACGAATAAGAGATTTCTAGAGATAGAGAATGAAATCAAGAGATAAAAAAATGGTGAGCATGATAAAGAAAAGCAACCTTAGCAGAATTTAGTAATCAATTGTGTATATGGTTTATATAAAAAGTCAGTGGTAAATGATATTTCAAGACAACATAAAGAAGGGAACTAAATGAAAGGGTTGCCATTCATCAATATAGGAATGTCAAAAGTATTGCAACAGTTGTTTGCAGTAAATGACTGAGTTTTGTTAAAGTTAAATTTTACAAGCCATTGCAAGCCCAATCTGTTACAGAAGTGAGATCAGATTCAAGATTGACTGCCTGTTTTAAGCAATCAAAAAGAGAAGAATTTTTGTCAAGACAAAAGTGTAAAGTTGAGTCATCAGCAAAAAGAGCTCTTTTAGATGTAAGGTTGTCGGAATGTAAATAAGAAACAAAACAGGACCAAGGATAGAACCTTGAGGTACCCTTGAAGTTACTGGAAATGAAGAAGAGTTTTGGTCTTCAACGATAACTTTAAAAAATTGGTTAGAAAGAAACACTTTGATAATCTTGAAAAGCCTGATAAAATCTTTTAGTCACAGGGGTTATCAAGTCAGTCGTAGAGTGAGAGAACAGAAAACTAAGAAGATCAAATAACATATTGATTGTCTGACAGTGAGTTATTTGATTCAAGATTGGATGTAAGAAATTTGTTGATCAAAGGCTTAAAAACCTTGCTAATAACAGAATAAAGAAGGCTGATTGAAGGATAATTGGAAGGGTCAGAATGTTCACCTGAGTTTTTGAAGATAAGAACAACAGATGCTATTTTCCAGCAGGCAGGAAAACAAGATTCAGTTCAGCACTTATTAAATAGTTTAGAGAGAATTGAAGAGAGTTCCAGAGAACAATTTTGTAAGACTATGACAGGAATGTTGTCTGGTCCACAAGCCATAGAATAGTTTAATTGAGATATGACTTTAGCAACAGAAGCTGGAGTGATTTGAATGTCTAATAATGGGTTCACCTGTGGAATGGAAAGAAGAGAATGGTTGTAAGATTTAAGAGTTTGGAGAAATTGATAAAAAAAGTTTTTACAAATAGTTCTGCCTTATCCTTGGGAAAGATAATAAGATCAGTCCTATGAATGAGAGATGGAACAATAGACCTACCCTTGTTAATGACGCTGTTGAAGATTTCCATTAACTCTAAATCTAAAAAAACTGAATCTTGCATCATATCTCAGAAATAAGTATCTAGAGCTTAACTTAGATGCGAGATTTAGTGAATAGAGAACATTGGAGCTTAGCATCAGACAACACCTTTTTACATCAATTTCTTGCAACAATAAATAGCCATTTGTTCTCAAGAGAGTTGTTCTTTTGAAAAAGATGAAAAAAATTATTACAATTGAATGCAACAGCTGCACAAGAAGGTGAAAGCCATGGAGTAGAACGAGGCTTGAGTTTAAACCGACGAGAAGGAATAAAAGCTTCTATTCCTGCCTAGATTTATGAGGTTGCGTAAGAGGTCCATATATCAGCTGAGAGAGAAAAGACTCAAGATCAGCTCAAGGACTGTCATGAAGAAATTATAAAAAGAATTCCAGTCAGTTTTAGGGTAGTAGTAAGTAGTGCGATGATAGTGTGAGAAAAGGAAGTATGAGATGAAAGATTTAAACAGATCATTGCATGGTCAAGGTAGAAATAGAAGAAAAAGAACACAAGCTAGGATCAGAGACAAGACATAAATCAAATTATGTTAGATAGTTGAGAGACAACAATTATGTTAGATAGTTCAGAGACAACAGTTATGTTAGATAGTTCAGAGACAACAGTTATGTTAGATAGTTCAGAGACAACAGTTATGTTAGATAGTTGAGAGACAACAGTTATGTTAGATAGTTGAGAGACAACAGTTATGTTAGATAGTTGAGAGACAACAGTTATGTTAGATAGTTCAGAGACAACAGTTATGTTAGATAGTTCAGAGACAACAGTTATGTTATATAGTTGAGAGAAAACAATTAAATTTGATAGTTGAGAGACAACAGTTACGTTAGATAGTTGAGAGAAAACAATTGTATTAGTTTAGAGACAAAAATTATGTTAGATAGTTGAGAGACAACAATTGTATTAGTTTAGAGACAAAAATTATGTTAGATAGTTGAGAGAAAACAATTGTATTAGTTTAGAGACAAAAATTATGTTAGATAGTTGAGAGAGTAACAACAAATACGAAAACAAAAACAAATGTTAAACCACACACATTAACAAATATTAACTACACCAATGTATGCAACACACTATGCAACACACACACAAGTATAAGTATAATGTTAATAATTTATGTGTTATAAATTTATTAAGTATTAGTAAAAAATAATAAATGATTATTAGGCAAAGCATTTGTCATGTGCGACACAAAAATATTTGTATTAGACGAACTTTCACTTTGTCGAAAGGTGACCGAAGATTTATTAATTGGCAATGTTGAACAATACAGCACTAAATTGCTTTCTTCTCTTTACGCATCTATTGAAAGTGGTACAAAAGCCACTGAAGTTTTCTCTATAACAGATTTTGAAGTATTTTTAACAAAGCTTCTTCTAGCATCCTTGTGCAATTCAAATGACTTATCTTTAACTCTACAAACCGCTCACCAATGCAATTTATTTGCTGAAGAATATCGTGTTACAACGTTCCTTAATAAAAAATTCTGGAATGCTATCGTTATGAGTGATTTACCAGATGTCCAGTTTTTTGAAGCTTTTCTTGTTTATGTTAGTTGTTCATCTAAAAAAACACAATACATGGACAGGGTTATCGAGACTTCTGCATTTGTTTCAGTTTTAAAGAGGTTAATTGAAATTCAAAAAAAAAATATTTCTTCAAAAGACACCTCTTTTTCATTGAAGTTTTCAGATTATTTTCGTGAATGTAAAGAACTTCAAAACTGTTATGATTTTTATCAAGAAAATATGCCTGTGGCTGTTCTTTGTTATATACTAACAAGTTGTTTGAAAGTTGATTCCTTTTTAAGATCATTTCTCAAGACTCCTGGAGGTTGTATTTTTCTGTATGTTTGTATGTTTGGTTGTATGTTTCTTAATTGTTTCTGTTTTGTTTCTGTTTTGTTTCTGTTTTTGTTTCTGTTTAAATGAGCTATTGCCTTTTTTTTTTTGTTATTGTTTATAGTTTGATTAAATTAACTTTTTTTTTAAACTTAATTTTTTAATTATTTTAGGTGTTAAAATTATTTTTGATGTTTTAAAAACCCCGTGTTGTTTTTTTATGCATCCAGCTTTCATATATTTACTAATGAATACCACAGAACAATTACTTTTAGAAGGGGTAAAAGTAGACATAGAAAATTTATTTAGAGATTTTGATTTCAAACATGTTAGCGAACTTGTTGTATCTGAAAACAAAATTATTCGTAAATATGCACAGCTGATTATTCGTAAAGTTTGTGATGCTAAAATTTTTTATGCAGAAATAAGGTTTCCTGCTTGGGAAGATATTACAATGTTTTCCTGTGAATGTCTAAAAGAACTTCTTTATAAAGACATACATGATCAGACTTTTAGCCTTGATCTTATTGGTTACATTTATAGGCTTTCTAATAACAATAGCTTGAAATCACACCCAAGTGAGTTTTATGAATTTGCGATGCTTTTCTTGAAGAGCTGTGACGTTGAAAAGCAACCACTCGGTGACTTGGTTATGGCTGCTTTGAAAGCAGTTCTCTATTTAAGTGAAAAACTTAGTACTGAGTCTAAACTGAATGCAATGCGAATCTGTTTGCCATTTACTTGTTGTAATAAAGGAGAGAAGAAAGGGTTTGATCTACCTGGGACAAAAGAAGTTGCATTGTGGGTATGTTCAAGATTAATGGAAAAAGATGAAGATTGTATTATAGAATTTTATCAACATATTGAATTTGTGTTGCTTGTTGAAGAAACCTTTAAGCTAGGTTCAGAATATACGTTAGAAACATTGCATCCTAAAAATTGCAGTCAAAACATGTTTACTTATTTTACTTTATTGAACCACATGTTTGCTGTTAATGAAGTGCTAAAGTACACACCATTATTTAACTGTGATCCTCTTGTGTTATCTTCTGAAATTATTTCTAAACTTTGTCAAATGTGTTCATTATGCATTGAACTGCCTTTTTTAACAGATTTGTTAGGAAAAAAAGTAATATACACGCTTTCTGTGTTAATTGTTGAAGATCAAATGCTCGTTAAGGAATTAATAAGTTATGACATAGTTAAGTTGATACAGCATCTTTTTATCACATATGATACTTGTGAGTATCCTTACCTAATAAAATGTCGTTTAATATTCAAACATTATTATCCTAAACTTCTTTGGATTGGTTTTTATGAGTACGACGAGTTTCGCCGCAAAAATCATGAAATTAAAGTATTAAATGAAAAAACAGAAACACACTTTACAAATGAACTGAAAATAAAATGCGCTTGGCATTTTTGTGAGAGCAATACACCTGTTTTGTTTAAGTGTGGTCAATGTTTTTTAACCAATTATTGCAGTAAGACTTGTCAACGAAATGATTGGAAGAGTCACAAGCAAACTTGTGGAAAGAATATTTAATTTAAAAAATTTTAATTTTTAATAATTTGTATAATATTTTAAATGACTTGTTTTTAAATGTTTTTATATTTATGAGTTTATATTTGATCTTATATTTTAAAAAAACAAAGCAAAGTTTAGTTCTTTTGTTAATATTTGTTAATAATAAACCACAAAAATCTCATTTAGCAATTCACTTTAAATCTCAAATCTATCTGAGTTAATGGAAAACCAAGATCATTCTTATACTCAATATATGAAACAAACGTCAAGTCTTGAAAATATAGGCTGCTTACCTGGTCTCATCAAATGTTTTTGTCTTAGCTTATTAATTATTGTTTTTCTTGTTAAAATGATTTGTAGCAATACCTTGACTGAGTGTTCCTTCTTTAATTAAATCCAAGTCTACTTGCAGTGTTTCAGTTTAATAATTTTCGTAACAATTTTCTAACTTTCTTTTGTAACCATCTTTTAATTAATTTTTGCAATTTTTTTTTTTTTTTTTTTTTTGTAACAATCTTTTAACTTTCTTTTCTTACCATCCTTACAAATAATTTGTATCTGTTAGCAACGTTTCAAACCATTAAATGTAAAAACTTAATAGTCTGAGGTTACCTTTTACCATGCAAAGTAGCACCCCTTTTTGATCAAAACGTTACATCCAAACTATTTTTAACAAGTTTATAATAGCTTAAAATAATTTAAAAAACAGATGATTTCTTTGCATAAAAAAAGTAAACTTATCTTAATATGATATTGTTATTGAGTAGAAACACGCCACTTTTAAAGGAGAAAAAAATTCGATAAAAATAATGGCTTACACAAGTATTTAAAAAACAATACTTAAAATGGCAGCATCATTCAAAATTTATTCTGAAAATTAAAGATAATTGCCTAACTAACAATATAAAACCAAAAAACTTGAAAAAATCAATATTGCTGTTAAAACTGGGTAAATACCAATACTTTTCAAAAGTGATGCAAAGTAACCCCTGATGGAGTAAAGGTGCCCCGGTTGGCGTAAACGGCCCCGATTGACAGTATGTAAAATCTTTTCGATATTTTCAATGATGCGTCCACAAAGTTTAGGCAACATTAAAAAATATTTTGTTTTAAAAAAGATTTAATTTAATGTTAATTATATTATAAGAACTATTATTATTATATTAAATATTACTTATTATTAATAAGAGATTTTAATAATAGTATAACTTATTTTATTATTTGTTGTTAACAATAATTATTTAACCAATAGTATTTTTTTGTCATATTCGTTTTAAAAAATGTATAATAAATATAGATCCAAATTCAGGGTCTCTGCCAGATTAGGCAAAGCAAGGAAAATTCAGGGAATTCAGACGTCTGAAAAAAAAATCTAGGAAGTAAGTTTAAATTTTAGTAATAATTAGGGAAAATGGCTCTTCATCAACTTATGTAACTTAAATAAGTCGTATATTGTACACGTAATATAAAAATTTAAATGTTAGTTGTGTTATTATTTATTATTTTTCGATTAGAGACATTTTTTTCAAAACAATTTAAGTCTAATTTTTCTTGAGTTTAGGTAACTTAAAATTAAATCAGGGCAAAATCAGGTAATAGATTCTCTCAAAGCAATATTGGTTTTAATGACATATAACGCCATCGTATTGTACAGTTATAACTGAGAACATTGTACATCGCCGCATTTTAATAGTAAAATCCTTGTTTTTCGCAAAATTGAGGCGATCACTAATATTTTTAGAGAAAAACTTGGCTTTAATGCAGCATTGTACGATAAAAATTTAAAGTCCAACCGGATCATCTAGTTTTACTTTTTAAATTAAAACCCGCATAGACATGTTTGTCACTATCTAGACGTAAATCCCCACCACGTCCTTAGTAGTACCGCGCTCAACTCGTCTCTCCACGCAGCGGTCTTGTACGTCAAGAGTTGAAACAGGGTTGCAACCACAACTAAAGTGACCTCCTCTCCTTTAGTGGCCTTCATGGCCTTGAGGAGGTAAATTGAAATGTTAAAAAAAAACCCGTTAATTTCAAGGGCTGTTTTATTCGAGTTCAGCAGATGTTTTGTAAAGGTTTCATGTCAAATTTGTTGCGTTCTTTTGTTACTGGTTTCACATTCGTTACAGAAACTTTGTATCATAATATACTACGTTTCCGTAAAAGTGAAACCATTAATAAAAACTTATTGTAATTGGTGTTTTGGTATATTGTAATGTTAATTTCATGGAATTCTTGACACATAACGCGTAACTTTTTACGGAGTTACTGACTGGATACCAAATGAAAAAGTAAAACAGGAATGATTAAAATTATAGTAAATTAAGTAAAATGATTCTGAAAGATTGTGCAGCAAGCGCTGAGATTTTGAACAATTCTGCGACAAGGATTTTAAAAGGTTTAACGAACTTTGTTAAGGGACTTCCATAAAGTGCGTTGGGGAGGAGGTTACCCAAAACAGCAGCAAATACGTACTCTCGAGAGCTTAATACAAAGAGGGAAAGAGAGTTATAGTCCAGATATAATGAACAGGGAGGGGAGGGGTCTTAATAAAAGGGTGGAATATATGGGGGAGGGTAGTTACCCAAAAACGTACGAACACGTACAAGGAACGGGAGAGGGGAAAGGTGTTAAAAACAGTGGTTTGACTATCAAACCTTAGCTTAATTTTACTCTTTATTTTTATTAAAAAAAAATTTAAATTTAAAAATTTTTATTAATCAATAATATGTAATCACTAAATATATCATAAATTTGATACTCTACATGCTTCAGAAGTGAAACTCAAAATAAAACATAACAAATCAATACGCAGTATAGCAACTAAAAATATTTTTTTGAAAAAATCAAAAAAATTAAGAATATTTTTTGTTAAAAAAATGTTTTTTTTAAGTAGATTTAAATTTGTTAAGGTTTATATATATATATCAGGGGACATAAGTTCTTTACATTTGTATATAAAAACATTAAATACATTTAGTTGATAAACATTTAAGGCGTCCATTTCTTTAAAAAGCGGTTCAAAGTTCGATAAACGATTTTTAAAATTTATTATGCGAGCTGCGAGTTTTTGATGCTGATAAAGAGATTTAAGATTAGTTTTATGTGTACTTTCCCATATAATATTTGCATAATTGATAAGACAGCGTTGATAATAAAATAAACATCCCCTCTCAAGTATTAATCACATAAGTACGCGATTTGACTATCTCTAATTGTCTTTTTTCTTAAAACTTCATTCCTTTTGTTGAATTTCACGAGGTTAAAAAATTAATGCTATATTTTTTTCTGACTTAAGTCATAATTTTATAGGAAAATATAAAAACAAAACTGTTTTTTATATTTTTCTATAAATAAATAATAGAAAAATAAGAATGCGATAATTGTTCTAAATAATATTTTTTTAAATTTTTATAAATGTAGTTTTATTCGTAGCGAAACGCTAAAGACCTTTTAAAAAACAATTACTTTTTACATTTATTGGCTGAGGATTATGGCATAAATAAAAATTTAAAAAGAATGTTTTTCTCTAATTATAAAAGCAATGAAAATAAGTGTGATAAAAGAAGAGGGAGCAATATGACAAACGTTTTGAAAGTCTTGAGTTTTTGAAAAACTTTCAGTCATTTGGCAACAATTTTCCCTTATTGCTTGCATAGTTTTTCTGTTTTATAATAATTTTAAACGCTTTTAGTTGTAAACCTCTTCGCTAAATCAACAAAAGAAATGTTTTCCGTTTTGTAAAGATCGAAATTGGAGCGAAGTTTCTGCACATTGGCAAATATATTGGAATTCGCTGTATTTGCAAAAAAGTGTAAGTAAACGGCACTACGTAACATTTCTCAAATTATAGTACAATTAAGTATATATATTATAATTTAATTTATTTAACTAAAAGATGAAGCAGCTTCAGCAGCAATGCTGGTCGTTTTGGGAAAATGCACCATACCAATTGCATAGTGACCCATATTAATCTAAAAGTGGCAAAAAGTCCAAAAAAAAAATTGTTAACGTTTTAAACCTAAAATTTTAAAATATACTACTTTTTGATCAAAATCAATTTTCATAGATGTAATCACTGTGCATAATTATATAATTTCACAGATATTATTATTGTGTAATTTTAAATGGATATATGCGTAAAAAGTTAAATTTATCACCATAAAATTATGAAAATTTTAGATGTGGTTATTTTGTAAGCAACATTATTTTCCACCTCCATACAAAACTTTATAATTTTTGTTAAAGTAATGAGTGGTTAGATATTTAAAATTTATTTACTTTTTCTTCTTTAGATTTAAAAAACAATTTCTTTTTAATTTTTCTTTTAAAAACTAAAATTTTAATATACTAGTTTAAACATAAGTGCCAGCCAAAAAAAAAGTTCCACGTTGTTCCACGTTCAATTTTAGTTAAACAAAACCACTAAACTTTAGCCAACTAAATCCTGCAGTATTTGCTGCAACCTTCTGCTCCTCTAAGGAGATATTTTAAATAGATTCATGCATAGTTCTTTCAAATGCAGTTTCGAAATAATTCCTAAAGATAAACTAGGCTGTGGCCCCTGTGGGATGACTTTAGCCCAAGCGAAATTTTTGTTTAAAAATGGTTTAAAATCGATACCTCAAGGTATGCCGGTTGATTTTTAGTAGCAAGTTGTGGGAAATTTATTATTTATTTAGTCTAATTTAGTTTACTTAACTCGAGTCTTTGTGATATTGTAAATTGCACTTTAGAAGAAGCACCTAAAATCCGAATTTTTTTAGGTGTGTAAACTTTTACATCGATAGCAGTACCTATAGAAGGTTTTTTATTGGAATATACACTGAATTAATTTTAAACCATTAGTGTTTGATTCTATCTTGTTTTGAAAGCTTAACAGTTTATTACTTTTTTGTAATTGAGGTTAAAAAAAAAAGGTTGTCTTTGGCCCACTACATAGGGTGACATTGGCCCGGTCTAAAGTCACCCCATGTATTAGAGTAAACCTTTTTTAGTATGTTGGAATGAAAAATTATTAGTATTAGTAAATTAGTATAAATTATATAATAAATAGTGAAATTTGTTTAGTTCTTAGTTTAAATATGCCACAAAATTAAAAGCCAAATTGTGGAAGAAGAAAATATG